AGGCAAGATTATATATATTAAAAGCTGTGAGAACGTGCACATCTTCCTGCCATTCGTCAGGACAGGCTATGTTATGCTGCGGGGACAAAGTCACTCTGGGATCGCAGTGGTGTCACACTTAAGGCTGTTCCGTCTTCACACCACACGTCCCTGCCAGTGTACAGGTGGGGGAGCCGTGGGGGGCTGCTCCACAGAGTCCCCCAGGCACCCGGCTGACAGAGGCTCTGCCCCGGGGACACCAGCGTTTGCAGAGGGAGCAGGGACTGCAGAGCTGTGGGTGGGCATGTCGCAGTCACAGCCTGTAGGTTCCACACGTCACTCTGCTTATGTTTCCTTGGCCAGAGACCCTGAGTGACTCTCAGGGGAGGGGTGGTGGGGTCGCCTGTGTTTTGCACAGGAAGGGACGGCCCTCCTTGTGGGGAAGGGCATGCGTGCTGCCCACCACGCCTTTGAGGCAGCAAGGCCGATGGTGGAAAAATTTCCCAAGTAAATATTCTGAAAAGTTCACAGAGGCAAGAAGAAAGGACATCATCGTATCCTTGACTCCAACGGTAAAAAAAGGGAAATGACCCAAATACCCGAGGAACAACCTACAGAGGTGTTAAAAGTGATGAAGTTACATATTTATTGACATAGGAATACAGTCATGATATAGTGCTACAAAGAGAAAAAGCAAGTTATAAAACAGTATGTGTGACTGTTTCGTGAGGAAATAACACAAAATACAGAGGCACAGAAGAAAAGTCTGAAAAGATAGACGGCAAAGTGTTAACAGTGGTTATAATCCGATGGTATAAAACGGTGATTTTTTTCTTTTCACTCACCTGTAGTTTCTTTAAAAAAAAAAGTATGTATGATTTTTGTACCAAAAAGTCATTTAAAAAAGGAAAAAAACCAACAACAACCTGGTACTCTTGGGGAAGTCCACTGTCCACCTCACCCTAATCATTAAATCCCTATGTCTGATACAAGTGATGCCTCACTGCCCGCCCCATCATAAGACACGGCCACAACAACTTGTTTGGTCAGGACTTTGCATTCAGCCAGTAACACATTGCCCACAGCTGCAAACATCAGGCCCGTCGATCATCTGCCAAGACCTCCCACGGTCTGGGCTGTGCGGGGTTGCTCAGACGCACCAGGCCGGGGTGGGCCGGGGGACCGGGCTTCACGGGGCTCTGCGTCGTCAAAGAGAGTAGGGCACTGTACGATTCCACTCGAAACGAAAGACCCACGGACTCGTCTCGTCAATGGGTTCCACAACAAATAACATCGCCACCCAGGGCTATTAAAGACGGATCTTAGCTAGACATATTTTTAATTAAAAATATCTCTTCTACTTGTCCTGCTACACACACACACTCTCTCTGTCTCTCTCACTCCCCTAGATTTACTAGACCATTTCATCCAGATGTCCAGTTCTTGCCAAAGTCACCTTGCCTGGCTGGACCTTTAAGGAGGAACTAGAAAACCCGTATTCTTGAGACAGGTGTTTGGAAAGGATGTGTAAGTAACGCACATTTCTGCACAGGATTCCCTCTGCATGCTGTCACCCCCGGTGTCCCCAGAATATATGCTCTTTCTTTGGGGGAAACCATGGAATCAGGAATTACAATCCTTTTACACCTTTTACTGCATGTCACTTAAAAATAGATATGCACGTTAATTTGCAAGCTTCCAGCTTAAGCCATCAGTGATTCAAAATTCAGTGACATTTCACGTGGACAAAGGAATCAACTTTTAGAAGGACAGATGGCACAAACAACCTGCTTTCGGCGGTGAGCAAACAGCGGCGGCTAGCTCCCTCTTACAGCCAAGCCTCTTCCGAGGGCCTATTCTAAGTCACATCACGGCTGCATTCCTTCCGAGAGTGAACCTAGGGCCGTGGGGGGCTCACAGGGGTGGTGGAGGTGGGGGGCTCACTGGGCGTGAGGTCCCAGTGGTTGGCTTTAGAGAAGAGCAGACTTTTCTATAGAAAGGACTCCTTTTATTGCAAAGAGGCTGATGGCGATGCTTCAGGGCAGCACATTAACTATCTTCTGTTCCAGCCTCGACTTGATGTCCTGTCAAATAAGCATATACCAGCCATGGGGCGGCAGATCGCCCCCTAAGGGCTGTGCCCGTGGCCTGCCTGAGCCTAGGGAGGTCCACGAGGAGGCTGCAGGTTGGAGGCCAGCCGCTCGCTGTGGACAGGCCTGGCGTTGGGCAGGTCCTCTGCACCCTGCTCTAACCACTGAGCCGCCAGCTGCTCCCTGCACGGAGCTGGCTCCTGCCTGGGAAGGGGGTGGGCGGTTGACAGCGAGCCCCCAGCCAGAACTCAGTTTACTGCTCTGTGGTCTCAGGGCCTCCCACAAGCCCAGTAAAGCACTGCTTCCTCTAAGACCATCACAAAGAACATGAAATGAGCCCGTCGCACATCTGGCCTCTGAGACTACAGACGTCAGGCCAACCAACACTCTCCTGGCGAGTTCTCTGCAAAACCAGACCCTTCTGCTCTGATCCACTCATTTGTACATTGTCACTGGCTGTGGACATAGGTGGAAATAGTATAACTGCAGCGTGTTCTCTTATCAGAACACAGGAGAATTTTTTTCCTTGGCACCCGAGAGTAACCAAAGAGAGAACAGCAGCAGGGCTCAGAGGAGGACACTGGACCGAGGTCCAGGAGACCTGGGTGTGGAGCCCACGGGGCTGCTCCCCCCGTAGGGACCCTGGGCGTGCCGCTTTCTGTCTCTGCCTCCCGTCTACCAAGCAGGGGTAATGATCTCAGGTCAGCCCTCCCACCAGCGGAGGTCCCACGTGCCAGCGTGCAGGCGAGTGTGGAAGGGGCGTATTAAATCACACAGGTTTCAGGCCTTGTGTGGACACTGGTCCTCTTTCCCTTAAGTCCTGATCACCTGTCCCGACCTGTCTCTCGGGTGCTTTCCGCTCCCCGGACACTGGGAAGAGTCCATCTCCACACGCCGCTCCCGACTTTGCAATGCATCTGGTTGGGTCTTCACTGGAACAGAAGTCACTTTTAAGGACTATTATGAATAAAGGGCTTCAAGTTTTACTTTGCCGCTTTTGGGCCCCAGCATTCTCGGGGGCAGAAAGCCAGCTAAGCCAGGGTCAGGCAGCCGGTCTCAAAGGCGTTAAAGTCGGGAGATGTCACTTGATAATGAAAACACAGTCCCGGTCTGACATCTCCCAGCTGCACAGCACAGCCGGGGGCACATGAGTGAAAGGTTCCTCTCCTGCCTGCACCTGGCCTGAGGCAGTGACAAGCAAAGGACATCAGTGCTGAGACTGGAAACGGCCACCCTAGTAAACAGGGTCACGGGCAGCTGGCTGGGGGCGGGGGGGAACCGGGACACGTTCCGAGGGTCTTTTTTGTCACACTGGGCCCACCCTCACCGAGCCAGGGGCGGTCATTCTCCTCAAGGAAAAGTCAACAAAGAAATGTCAAGGCCGTTAGAGAAAAGCAGAGGGGCGCCAAGTCCAGTGCCTCGGGAGGCCCCTGGCCCGCCCCGTCGGAGGAGCTCCCCGCCCCAGGGCCTCGGCGTCACAGTCAGCGCCGGTGAGCCGCACTGCAGGGGACCCAAGCTCCCCATCTACTACCTACACTGTGCTCACCCAATGCTACAGGGGTCAGGGACACACGGGGACAGGACGCAGCAGCCCCGTGGTAACGGCTCTATCACTTCTGCTGTTTTCCACAGTCACTGCTAGGGGGCACAGTGGCTCTCACCACTGTACCTTCCAAGGCATCTGCCTCCTGAGCCTGCTCTTGTCAGTTGAGTCGGCTCCTTCGGGATGAACAAGCCGCCTGACAGGGGTGGGGGCGCTCAGGGGACCCACGCTGAGGTTTTGGCTCCTGGGCAGCCGTGTGCCCAGTCTGCTGGCAGGTGGACTGGCCTGGCCTGAGAAGAAGCCCTTTTACCCCACTGCCCGGACGCTGGCCCAGAGCAGGGCCAGCCCAGCTTTCTAGTCTCCTGGCCCGGCCAGCAGGGGGCTGCCCCCAACTGCCCTGAGGGCCACCGGAGCTCTGGGCGGGGCCAGCAGCCGCACCTCAGCCACGGGGGCTGACCACACTCTGGGCCTCCTGGGTGCCAGCAGGAGGGCCACGCACTCCGCCTGCAGGGTCTCCCCTAAAGGGCCTCAGTGCTCCAGCTGTCCTTCCTCCCCTGGACCAAACGAGACGCCCCTGCTTCAGAGGGTGTCCGCTACAGGAAGCAGAGCAGCAGGACGTGTAAACTCCCCTTGGGGCCCAGGTCACGTCTGTGGGTACCCAGCCCTCCCTCAGGCTGTTTATCCTTCATCCAAATTCAGCAGGGAGAAATTCTACCCTCGCGAGAACATCCTTGTAGAAGGAGAGGTTCTCAAAGAGGGTAAGGAGGCCCCAGGCCCCTCTCTCCTGAGGGCGTGTAGGAAAGCCTGTGGCCAGAGATGCCAACCACTGTGCCAGGCCTGGGCAGTCTGTCCCCGAGAAGGACACCAACGGCACTCAACGACCACGGAGAAACTCGGTGAGGGGCGAGGCGTGTGGCTCCTGTCCCTTCCTCAGCAGGCACCAGGAGAGACGGAGGCAGCCCTGGGCAAAACCCCTCCGTGGCCACGGCCAAGCCTCGCTCACTGAGCTGATGCTCCCTCATGAGCTGGTGTGACTTCTCTCAACTGTCTAAACCCAACAGTGGATCCCGCCCGGGGCCCCAGCCTGCGGCAGCCCCTGTACCAGGGACAACCTGTGGTCCTGGAATCCCCCGGCTGCAGCTTCCCAGGACTGGAGAATAAGGGCGGTCCCAGTGTCACCACCCCAGTGTGTGTGTGTGTGGGGGGGTGGGGTCAGACCACCTCCTGCTGTCTCCCCGGCCACCCTCCCTGCCACAGGGCCACGGAGCCAAACCATGGGTTTGACCACACAAGTACACTCACGTCTCGTAACGACCCAGAACACCGCCACGCTGGTCTGTTCAACGGGGACTCTGCTGCGGTTTGACTGAAACACTAGATTCTGTTCAGATGTTTAAGTGAACAAATATTTATTAAAGCACCTACTTTGTGCCAGGCACTGTGCTAGGCACCCTCACTGCGTGCTGTCCCCTCAGCACAGCAGTCTGCTCAGACATTAAAACCAAGAAAAGGCCCATTGCCGCAACCTGACAAACTGCGGGGGGACGAGGGGGGAGAGGGGGTGCAGGCGGACCCTGGGCCCGGAGACGCACCCACCGGGAACTCGTCGTCTTCCTCCGGACACCTCGGCTGAGTGGCGGCTTGCCCACGTCCGCACGCTCACTGAGGAGGAGTTTTCTGTCTCCGCAGCCCACAGGGGCGCCCGGTGCACGTTCCCATACTCTGAATGTTACTAAAAAGGATGTGTAAAGGATATTCACATTTATCTTAGAAAACTAGTTTCAGTGTGTAGGGTTGCAACGCCGCTAGGAAAGACAGAAACATCCCTGCCCTGGCCGCGCGAACGTTTAAGGTAGACCAAGTTCTGGGTTCCTGAGTCAGCATCTTCCTGCGTCCACACCATCTCGAGAGGCCAGAGAAGCCAGAGACTTCTGGAGACGAGCGAGAGACACGCCCAACCGCGCCTGCGCTCACGGGAGCAGGGCGGGCGGGCGGTCGCCCTTGCTGCAGCTGCCCCCACACGGCTCGCCAGCCCTAGTTGTCGGTGCCCAGCTTGGAGAGGCCCCTGCGGAAGTCGTGCAGGTCGTCGATCTTCCCGTCCAGCACCTCCAGGAAGCTCTTCAACTCCACCTTCAGGTGGCGCTGTCGATACTTACTCTCCTCAATGTCTGACTTCAGCGCACGCACTTTGTCCTCCAGGTTTTGATTGTCTCTCTCTGCCGCCTGAAGCAACACAAAAGGGAGAAGAAGAGCCTGGGGAACAGTGATGGGAGTGGTCTGCTGAGACCTGTTGCGCCGTTCTCCCGCGGGGCGGCCTCCCCAGACGTGGCGGCCCCCCAGCACACACGGCCAGGGGCATTTCGGCGTGCCCTTCTCTCCTGCCTGTTCCCTGGCAGAAGGGCCAACCAAACACAGTGTATTGTGGCCAACATCTGGCCTGAAAGACAACATTTGTACACAGAACACAGAACTCGGAGGCCTGCCCGGGAGCCCAGCACTAACTGACCTTCTCACGAGTGCCCAACATAGAAAATCTGAAATCCCAGTGCAAGGCATTTTCCGCCCCATTCCCAGCGTGGTCGGCAGAGGCCCGCCCAGTTCCATCCTGATAACCCTGACCAGCTGCCGACCCCGGGGTGGTGTGCCTGGAGGAAGGGCTCCTGGGCGGTAAAGGAGGAGATAAAAACTCTCCTTTTGTGGGTCAGAATCTGAGGCCAGTTGGGGGAAGGAAGGTCTGTCCCCAGTTCACATGCAAGGTCACTGGCTGGGGAGTGGCAAGGTCAAACAGCACCCTGGTATCCTGCCCTCAGCCCTTCCTTCTGCCCCCACACCTCACCGCCCTTGGGGGTCTACGGGGGCTTCTGTGGACTGGAAACAGTCACCTGCACTATGCTGAGGGCGCAGGGCCCCTCCATGTGAGTGAAAAAACCAATGCCGCCGCCGAGCCTTCGCCAGCAGGCAGAGGTGGCGTGTGGCTGGCAGCCGCTGCTGCGTACGAGGGGAGAGGCCTCAAAGGGAACAGCACACCAAACACCTTCCCGTCTGGGTTCCCCGCTCGTACCTCTAACTTCTCGGAGACGTATTCACACTCGGACATGAGCTGAGGTATGATTTCACTTTGTTTTCGGAGATCTTTCAACTCCTACAGGAGACAGGAATTTGGAGAAGAATGTAAAAACAGGTCAGGTAAAATGTATTCCTGAAAATCTCTGACTGCTGCAGTAAGGCCTGGAAGCAGCTTCTGGAACCTATACTGTCTGCATTGATAGCAATGGTGCTGACATTAACACCGAACACGCATCAGACACGCGGAGGGCTGAGCGCGCTGCGTGCATCACTGCACGGAGCCTGCATGCCACGGTGACGGACGGCTGCTCCAGTGGTCCCTGCTCCGTGAAGGGGGAGCTGGGGCTGAGCGAGGCTTGGACACCTGCTGAGCCTCAGCGCCCCAGAAAATAAATGGCTGGGTGATTGCTGGCTCTCGCTGCCTTAATTTGACAGCAGAATTCCACTTCTGGGATGGATCATTTAAAAGAAGTCTCCAAGTGTCCGGTAGGACGTTCAGCTGCCCCCTAGATCTGAGTGTCCGACCACACACCACGCACAGTGAGGAGGCCGCCAACTCGGGAGCGTTGGAGCCTGACGTGACTCTCAGCTCTGTCTCTGTGCTGATGCCCAGGCCACCTGCTGGGTCCTTGGGCAGGGGTCGCCCCACGGTCCCCGAGGACACCACTAGAACCCGGCCACTCACCGTCTCCTTTTCTCGGAGCTCCGATTGCAGCTCCTCGATGCGAATCTTCAGCTGGGTGTTCTTCTCCTTCTCCCTGTTTATCTCGCTGCTCTGCTCCTCCAGCTCGTTGATCTTGAGTGAACATCACACAGTAAGCAGGGGTGCCAGTTACTTACGTCAACGAGCAAAAGACTGCCATGGCTCTGCTTACGTTTTCTTTTAAAGTAAACCATAAACTAGCCCAGGTATGTCTCTTCATGCGGCTGCCCCAGGGGCTGCTGGCCCTTCCGGCAGGAGACGCCTCACTCACTTCCAGCAGAGCCGAGCCAGTCACAAAAGCTGGCCCTCAGATGCCCTGGGCCTCTGGCTTCTCTCGTGGCCACAGGACAGATGTCCTGTGAATCTATCTGCTTTTCCCCAGAATGATTTCACATCATTTTAATCACACCCTACATCATTCTGTATCAAGGACTGAGCCAGCAGGGTAGGCAACAGAGCACCACGGGACAGTGGTCCCCACACGGGACACGATGACATTTCAGACGTTTTAAACCGAGATGACCTTTCTGTGCTGATGCACCGGAGCCTGGCCCGCAGGCCTCCTCCTGGGGGGCGGTGGACGTGCCTGCTGCGTCAGCAGGCCCCCAGAGTGTGCCTTTTCTCCCTCCCCACCCTGACTGTGCAGAAGAAAGGCCAAGGCTGAGACCCCTGGCCCTGCGGTCTGACGGCGAGTGTTCTGGGGGACCAGAGTGTGTGCAGAGTCGGTAGGAGTGGAGCCTGTGTGTGACACGGAAGTGCCATGTTGGTGGCATCCCCACAGTGCAGCAGTCCTCGGGGTGACTGCACGGGTGAGGGCGGTGAGGCCACTTGCCAGAGGGGACCGGGACCAGTCCGAGGGACGTGAGCCCCGGCAAGGAGCTGCTAACGATGCTCAGCTCCGGAAACAGGTACCTAGGGCTTCCCCTCAGGGGAGCTCCTCCGGGGGCGCCTCCTCCACTCCCTGGCCCTGCTCTTTGGCTCTCATCCTTAAGTGCCCATCAGCTGTGCTTGGGGAAAGAAAGAGAGGGCAATCGACCCCTCTGGCAGGCAGATCCGCGGCCCCGGAAGGGAACCCGCAGAGTCAGCACTTGGCCGCGTGCCCCTCGCTGTCAGCACTCGGGCACTGAAATGGAAAAGTGACGCGAGGCAGTTCTGGTGCCATCTGCACCAAGCCGGGTGGTGAAACTGCGCCGAGGCCTCTGGTGGCTCTGCCCAGTCAGGAGGGCAGGTCACAGGGTGGGGGCCGGGAGTGACACCGACACCGGTGTGGCATGCACCCCTGAAATCCCTCCCTCACCCACCAGGCCGTGTTCACCGCCTGTGGGGTAAAAACATGCTGACCGCTGACATGCGGTCAGCACAGCGACCTCAGGGGATTCTCAGGCCTCCCGAAATCACCTCATCGACTCGGCCCACCCACAGGGGCACAGCGTGGTGACCAGCACCGCCCACCTCCCACTCCGAGGGCCGTATTCCTTTCTCCTCCACAGTCACGCCTTCAGCACAGAGACTTGTGTGAAAGGGTTTCTGAGCAAACGCTCCTCACCATTTCCTGAATCTGTTTTCTTCACTCGCCCCCTGAACCCCCCTCCTCCACCTCAGACCACTGGACCACAGACAGTGCTCAGGAAGGGCTCCCCGCCAAGAACGGCCCCCCCGCAGAGGGCAGCGGAGGGTGCTGTCTGCAAGGGGCAGTGCCGACGTCTCCCACTTCTCTCTCCTTTGCAATAGGAATTAACACGGTTGGTTCAATAAAAGTAACAAATCAGTTACTGAGATGGAGGGAGGTCCAAAGCAGGGAGACGGCAAGTCTTCCTCCTGCCGGTGGGGATGAAGGCAAAGTGGGGGTGAGGAGAAGGGGCCTGGCCACCCCTCCCACCCCACCCCTGCCTGCGGTCCCCCAAAGCTCCCCCGGAGCCCACCCTGTGCCGCAGCCGGTCGTTCTCGTCGCGGCAGATGGAGAACTGCCTCTTCCACTGCTCCACGCTGGTGGCGGACTCCTGCAGCGCCGTCGTCAGCCGGGCGTTGCTCTCCCGCAGGGCCTGCAGCTCGATCTCCCATTTCTTCACGTTGGCAGCACTGCCGGGCAGGGGCCAGCCGGTGACTGGGATGGCCCGGGAGGTCCGTCCCCCTGCCACTCCCTCTCCCACCCATGCATGGGCTGGCTGGGCAAACTAGTGCCCGGAGGGGCTGGCCTCTGTCTTTAGTGTGAGCCAGTTGCCTTGCCAGGCCATTTTCTTAAAGGATCACTTTAGAAAAGAACCGAATTCTTGGAGAAGGGAGAGTCAGAATGAGGCCGTGGAGTGAAGACTCCTCCTGCCCACTCCCAGCCGGGCCCTGACACTGCCCGACCCCTTCCTTCCCGAACCGGGCCTCTCAGGCAGAGGCTCCGAAGTGCGGGGCCGACCGCGGGGCCCACCGAGACCCTCATGGAACATCCCGCACCCTCTGGACGAGTTCCTGCACCGACCGTGGGGCCCAGGGACCCCGGGTTCCACACACAGGTGACTGAGGACGGCCCCGCTGTCACTGGCACCTCTGAGGGAATCCAGGTTTGAGAGTTGAGGAGACACCCCACAGGCCCGAGGGGCCCGCCGCAGTGCCCAAAACACCCGTGGTTGTCTTTGATCTTGTGTTTTTGGTGCAGACATTCTTAAAACCAAACAAACTGGAGTCGGGGGCCCCCAGACGCCGTTTGCTCTGGAGGCTCCAGGGGTTTCCATGTGCAGCCGTGACCGCAGGGGACGGGCTGGGCCTGCAGCGGGGCTGTCCCTGAGCACGGCCTGGCTGAGGACAGCGCTGCTTCTCAAGGCTTTTTACAAAAGTAAATACAGCTGTATCGGGATAATCTGCGATATCTTTCATCCCACAGCCTCAAGGACCTGGGAATGTGACAGGAAAATGCACACTTTTGGCTCCAAACAATACAGACTGAAAAAACAGAAAGGGTTATTATCTGATTAATTTCAGGACTGATGAATGAGGACTTAAGCTGATTTGGGGAAATGGCTTCACCCCCATTCCTATAATTCGCTTCTCTATTAAATTGGGATTTCAAAACATTTATTTTTAGGGCTGAAACATTTTCATTCAGGCAGCTCGCTGTGAGTTGAACAACCAAAAATAGTCCTTAAATTGCCTGATGAGTAAGAAAAGAGACTGGTCACAGCTCCGTCCTTTGAAATACCTGACAAAACCCACAATCCAAATACAGTGGCTGGGTCTAAGGGTCACGGCGCTTTCCGGAATCCTAGGCCAGGTCACAGGAATTACTCGGCAGAGACGGCCAAGCCGGGCGAGAGGGGGGCAGCCAGACGGAGCTCGGCGTGGGCCCGCCCGCCTCCTCCTGCTGGGAGCAGGCGGGCCCCTCCCAGCTCCCTGAGACGCTGCCCAGCGGGAACTGGGTCTGCAGGGATGCCCGGGGCATGGGGAACCGCACCGGGACTTGAAGCCCCCTTACCTCTGTGTCAAGGCGATCTTCAGCTTGTTGTTCTCGGACTTCAGGTGGGTGTCCGCAGGGCTGGCGTGAGAGGCCTTCTCGTCGTCCGTCCCGTTGACACTGGATGCCTGAGGGGAAGACAGGGTTTCACAGCCAGGCTCCGGGCCAGAGCGAACCACCCCACACGGCCCGCAGGGCCTGCCAGGGGCAGCAAGGCAGGCCCATGGAGGAACGGTTTCTGCGTGGGGGAGAGTAACTCATCTGACCACACACAGCAGCGAGCAACACGTCGAAGGCACCACGAACGAAGGACAAGGCCCCGGGCGTCCACGTGAGCTCAGAAGTCTGCAGTTCGGGGGCGAGAGAGCACCTGGGGCTGCTCCTCAGGCCGCTCGCTGCACGCACACTTCCCAGATCAACCTCACACGCTCGGAGAGCTGCTCTCCTTAAATAACAGACAGAGCCATGGACCAAAAGAAGAGGGAAGATTTATACTAAGGAACGAGAAACAGTGAGTGAAGAAAGAGAAAAAGCACGCAAGCCAACACGCCTTAAAGATCCTGGGCTACAGGGAGGAGGCCCACGCGCTCACTACAAGAACAGGACTCAGGTGGACGTCTGCTGTCTCCACTCCTGTTCAGCATTGTTACCAATGTTTTGAGATGCTTCCTGAGTAAGTCATCCCATTTGGCGGTCAGAGCTCATCTGCTCTTGATGAGATCTCAGCAAGGCCTTATTTAGCCTCCAAATAAGCATCGAGGGAAAGGAAGGGACAATGAAGGGGAGGATGTGTAAGTTTGACTAAATTCACATTGCTGCACTGCAAAAAAAAACCCCATATACACAATTAAATTGCAAACAAAAACCTGGGGAAATGTCTGCTGCTAAATATTTGCAGATACTGGAGGCCAAATGTTAGTATCATTCCTATACTGAAAAACTCTTGGGAGAGAGGACGCATCTGTTAGAGCTACACACTGAAATACTGCCGGATGCCGTGCCAGGGTGTCTGCCATTGGCTTTAAAACTCAGCGGGAGGCGGAGGGAGGCACAGGAGAGACAACTGGTCATAAACTCCTAATGGTTAAAGCTAGAATTCTGCCTGGCTTGGTGTACGTTCAAAAGTATCCATGTTAACAAATAAAGTTCTCGGCTCTGACCAGTGTGGCTCAGTTGGCTGGGAGTCGTCCCGCAAAGCAGAAGGTGGCTGGTTCGATTCACGGTCCAGGGCACACACGCCTGGGTTTCAGGTTCAGTCTGGGTCGGGGCGTGTATGAGGGACAACCAATTGATGTTTCTCTCTCACATTGATGTTTCTCTCCCTCTTTACCCCTCCCTTCCCCTCTCTCTAAAATTAAACAAAATCTTGTAAAACGGTTAGAAATGAAGTTCTTGGAAATCAACACAAAAAGATGAACATGTCAATTTTTTAAAAGGAAATGAATATGCAATTGACATTTACGGAAAACAATGCATAAATCAGCTAAGAAATACAAAAGGGAAAGGGCCAATAAAACACATTTTTCTTCTGTCGAATCAACGTTGAGCGGGACAAAACACTGCTCTCCTTCACGCTGGAGGGAGTCAGCGCTGCACACTTCTGCAGGGGAGGCCTGCAGTGTTCACCGGAGGCTTTTCAAACGTCCCTACTTTCAGCCAGACACTTCCACTTCAAGAACTTGTCTGCACAAAGATGCGTGAGAGTGCTCATCACAGTGTCAGTCACAGTAGTAAGACATTAGAAGCCACACGGACGGCCCCAATCACAGGATGGGGATGGAGGAAGCTCTGACACCCACAAACGCTTGGGATACTGTCTGGCCACCAAGCGAGTTTTACGAAGGGGACGTTTGGAGACCTGAGGGAATGATGGTGACTTAAAGTGAAAGAAGTTACCGGGAAAGTTCCCGTGCACTTGAAGTCTCACGTGCACTGGCTTCCACAAATCCACGTGGGGCATCTTTCACACGAGGCGCTGGGACTGTAACTCGAGACAGGTCAAGCTCTGCCTTCACAGAACACCCGAGCCGCCCGACCTCCGGTCCTAGGAGTCGGCCACGGTGGCCGGCAGACCCGGGGCTCCCCCCGCATTCTCTCCCCTCTTCTCTGCAGCACTGACATGCTGTGGGGGCTCCTTCCTGGGGTTCATGATGGTGGGACTTCTCTGCCTTCTTTGCTGGCTTGCCGCCCATAACTGGGTTCACTTCCCAAGGCTCTAGCTCTAGCCCCCCCACCACCCCTGGCTCCCCGTTACTGCTTCTTGGTGAACCCGAGGCTTCAGCTAGTTCTTCTGTGAGACCATCAGTCCTAACTGCTCACGGAGCCCAGCCGCCTCCTTGTTCTCTTTCTAGCAGCGTCTCCAACACCCGTCCCTTCCCCTTTAGGCCTGTGGCTGCCCTGAGCGGGCCATCCTCCACCCCACAGTGTCCTCACTGGTCCTCTGCCGCGCAGCCGTGTGTAACCCTCGTGTCGATTCCAGATCAACAGTCATAAAACACCTCCAGTGTCTGCTCAATAATAAATAATCAAATTAAAAACGAATGAGTAACAAACTGTCCGCCACTGAAGAATTCCAGGTCCTTTGCAGCACCCCCAAGTGCATCTCTGCCCCGCCCCCGCCCCACAGTCTCCTGCCCATCCTGCTGCCACGCATGCTCCATCCCAAACCTAAACCGTCGTTCCTGACGTCTGTCTCTACTTACGACCTCGGCACTAGGTTGAGACATCCACCCACCACTGCATACACCAACTGGGACGTCGGGAGTGCGGGGTTGTATTTCAGGTTCAAACAGGCCCATCTTAGTCCATCATAACTCCCGGGAGAGCCACATCTCCTCCAGCTGAACTAGAGCTGTTGCAGCCCCATCGCCCACCCGACTCCCGGGGGAGACGGGGCGAGGGTGTGCTGGCCCAGCATGGGCACCTGCCCTCGTCCACGGGCACCTTTCACGCAGACGCCACGGCCCACCAGGGAAGGGGAACATGCTGCCCTGTCACTGGGACGGAAACAGGGGCCTGAGAGCGCCTCTTAGGGGCCAGGGACATGCGTCCCCCTAATCTCAACAACTGTTTCCACTCAAAAACACATGACCACACCCCCGAAAGTCAGGAGTCTCATAAACACATGTCCTGTGCACACAGTGTGAGCAGCCTAACAGTGAGCAAGCTTCAAAAACACCCTGCTGCTAAATTCCTTCTTTCCTGTCAACGTGACAAGGAGCAGTGTGTCTGTCACCAACTGTCCTTGGATTTATTTCAGGGACAAGCCACTCACCTGAGAATGATTACTTGAGGTCTCGATCTTCTCCTGCGACTTGTCTCTGGCTAGTTTGGCAGCTTCTTTCACCTCCTGGAATTTCTCTGCAAACTGAACATGAAGGACAGTTAACTAAGGTTCTTCTTACCCTTACCTGTGGCTGATATTCAGAACCCACCTTTGTTATTTTGCATTCATTTTAGGCCAATAAATTCTGTATAAACACAGAAAAAGAATTTTACTTGAGACGGAAAAGGAAATGAATATAAGGAACGCCTCTCGCGGTAGACGCTGTTGGCCAAGGTCTGGCCCAAACCAGCCCCTGAGCTGCTGCAGTTTGTCTGATGAGGAAGGACGGGAACGAGCACCTCTGGGCACCAGTAACTCACACAGACACGAGGAAAGATGTGTAGTCGTGCCGCAGAAGGAGTCTGAAAAGCTGCATAATTTCTCTAGAGAGATCCAAGAACTCTTACAAGTCGACATAATGAAAAACAAAAACATCCATAAAGTTGGGAAGAAGCAACTGTTCTAGATTTTAAATGCTTAACATACAAAACACCAAAATGCAAAATAGCAAAATGAGACAGGTAGTCTGTGATTGAACCCTGTTTTGAATGGACCAACTATAAAAACTTCCGGGGAACAATTGGGGAAATGTGACCAGGGACTGGAGTAGGTAACATCAAGGAATTACTATTCATGTTATTAAAAGTGCTAACGGTGTTATGGTTATATTGAAAAACGTCATGCTTTTAGAGCCCTGGCTGGCATAGCTCAGTGGATTGAGCATGAGCCTGCGAACCAAGGGATCGCAGTTCGATTCCCAGTCAGGGCACATGCCTGGGTTGCAGGCCAGGTCCCAGGAGGGGATCCACGAGAGGCAACCATACATTGGTATTTCTCTCCTCTCCTTCCCTTCCCCTCTAAAAATAAATAAATAAAATCTTAAAGAAAAACGTCATGCTTTTAGAAATAAATTGAGGTGTCTAGGCGTGAAATGCTTTGATGTCTGTAACTTCAAGTGCTTCAACAGCGATACAGCAGGGAAAGGAATGTGGGGAATATTAACACAAGGTGATATGGACACGGGTGTTTATTATACTGTGCTCTCTAATCTTAAAAGTGTTTTAGTATTTTCACAATAAAAAAGTTCTTAAAAACCCCAGGACAGCCACACCCATCGCAGGCCTGAGGCCATCAACAAGGCACTGGTTTTAATTAGCACATACACTGTTCAGGCAGAGCACACCAGTGACAGACAGCGGTGGCGTCACAAAGCGGGAGAGCTGCGTGTGGTTGCTGAGAGACAAGGGAGCTAGCGCGCTGCAAGGCTACCGACAACCCTGGGGCTTCTGCTAAGAACGCACGGATTTCTGAGCCAGGCTCCCCTCTGAGCATGTCCACGGGCCAGCAACAGCGGTCAGCTTCGCGAGCCCATGACGAACGCTGGTGGACCAAGCACCCCGGTCAGGCCAGGAGTGGAGAAGCAGGCGAGCGAGTCAGTAAACACAGCCCTGCCGGCTTCGGATGCGGGCAGAGCCTGTGGGCGGGGCTCGGGGCCTCCACTAGCCCCTCCTACCTTGGTCTGAACACTCCCAGATGGCGGAGACGGCAGCTCAGCTCTTGGAGGCGCGGGCCACACACCTCCGGCTGCAGTGATTCCCCTCCCCTTGTCGCCCACACCCAGCACAGTGGGCCCTGCAGGCACCCACCGCCCTCTTCCCGCAGACCTTCGGCACAACCGCACCTGCATGGTGAGGAGTTTAGTGGCCTGACACACATTGACTCTTTCGCTTCTCACTGCTACTCTGGAACAGGAGTTCTCATGCACAGTTTTGAAATAAGAAAACGGACCTTAGAGAGGTTAGGACTTGTCTACGATCAAACCTGAACTTGGGCCTAGGTCTGATTTCTACAGATCATCCTACACATTGAGGGACCTCGTGGTGCTGACAGGAATGCCGAGTCTTGCCCATTGGAGCTGCCAAATATTTATTCATTGGATTTTCCATCTGCAAGGAGAAGCCCCATTGCCTTACAATGGAAAATAGAATTGAACTCACTTCCTCTTCAAGAAGAAATTTACTTATACGAGCTTTAACTCCAAAACAGGCCGCAGGAACCTTTAAGGCTGAGACAAGGCCTAAGGAACAGATGCCAGATGCGGAGCCCGGGGCTCTGGGGAGGGGTTGCGATTTTATATCTCTCCTCACCGACATCATTTAACTCTTCTCCTTCCCAGTTACAAAAGCAAGACAACAGACAACTGTTACATGTGCGTCAAAACACACATCCTACAGGACTTCAAGGTCAGAGTGTTATTATAAATAATAACAGCCTACAGCCTCTCGGAAAAGTGGGAAAAAGGACAGGGGCTCCTGGCTCTTCAGGATGCGACAGGACGAGCCGTCAGGACGGAGGAAGCCTTGCTGCACCCACAGCGACCCTCAAGCCACTCTCACGGCCGTCTGTGTGCACTCAGGAACAGCCGGTTTCACGCTGGGACTGAGCACAGGCGGCGAGAGGCCAGGGTTGGACGCTAGTGCCCTGTGGTTTACCTGCTCACCTGAGCTAAGATGTCCAAACCTGACAAATGTAGGCAAATGAGCCACGGGGAACTCGGTTTCCTCATCTGCGAAATGTGAGTGAGGGCACTGCCTCCCTGGACCACCAGGTGCTGAGAGGCGGGGCTTTGCCAGGCATGTGGCCGGGGCTCAACAAAGGGAAGCAAGGCTGCACTGGCCTTGATCCGACCTCTTCCTACAAGTGGAATGACGGCCGGGGCTTAGAACCGTGAATGGTGGTGAAAGAGTCCACAAGAGGGCAAGTTCACTCATCCAGGAACGCCTCCTAGTTTCTTTCTGTGTGGGGACACTGAAAGATTCAGTTCCTATCCTCAAAGGGACTTGGAGTCTGTAGAAGAATCTGCTTTACATTCGAGTGGGTGGCAATTTTTAAAAAGTCATAAAATAAGCTTAAAATGTCATGAAGCAGGATAAACCCAATCAGACAAATTAAAAAAAAATAATCACTTAGAAAGATGTCATGTTAGCAGATTTATGATGGAACAGGCCCTACCATTTATATAAAATTTAGCATATGACAAAGGAAGAATAATCGATGAATGGGGAAAATTATTCAATGTATAATTGAAATAACTGTAGTAAACTGGGGCAAAAGGAATTTAAATCCTTACCAGTGGGTTAAAGGGATGAATATTTTTTTAAAAGATCAAACCTTAAAAAATCTACATGCAAACAAAATGGAACATGTATCAAAATTCTGCTCAAGGAATGAAAGGGTAATTTTCTAAATGTGGAAAAAGTTTTTAAAAAACCACAGAGGTGACAGATCTGACGCCATAATAATGGAAAGCATTTGACCGTGAGAGGAGAGAGACCAGCTCAGGAGGGAAGCGAGTCTGGGGAAACAGTGTGAGCAGAGCGGACACAGGAAAGGGGCACTGTCGCCAGCACAGAAAGCGTGTGCAAATTTCCGTTTTCAAATTCTAAGAGAAGCCTTATTTAGAAAGTCACCGAGGTAGTAGCAGGGAGCCAGCTGGGCTGCGGAGGCTCAGGAAACAAGGTACAGAAGCAAAAGAAGGGCCCCTGGAGCTTAGGAGAGGGAAAGGCAGAGGTGAGGCGCCTGGGGGAAGAAGAGGGTGGCGGGAAAGGCGCCCACTCACGCCCGGGAGAGAGAGCACCTAGTGAGCACAGACTGCAAAGGAAAACGGGGAAATCCCAAAAGAGAGTGGCGAAACTGGTGAATAAAAGATACAAAGTAAGCAACTTCCAGAAAAGGCTGCTCGGCTTTGCTGAAGATGCAAATCAAAGTAATGAGGTCCCATTCTTCGTCTGCTAAATGAGCAAACACGGAGTACAGTGGTAACGCCGGGGGCTGGCAAGATGCTCCCGTCAGCACTGTGCACTGGTACAGCCCCTTGAGAAGCAATTTGCAAAAAGGTACCATGAGTGAAAAAAAATAAGCATGCCCGCTGACGTAGTGATGTCACTTCTGGGAAACTACACTGTGAAAATAATTGAGAATATGAAAAAAGGCCTTCAATATGCCAGGGTCCTAGATTTATCAGTAATAATGAAAACCTGGTAGCAACCCAGACACCTGGAGAGCCGGTCTCCTCCCAGCCCCCAACTGTTCGAAGAGAAGCGCTCGTCACTGAGAGGGGCAGATGGCTGTCCTTTGCTAAAACATCCCCTCCCTCCAAGTCCTAAGGTTTATAAAATTAATAAAAAAGCACCTGTGCCTATAAATTTAGAAGGTACGGTTTAGAAAAAAGTGTTTTAAACCTATAGCCCCATCGCCCAGATATAAACAGTAAACCACACAAACTTCTGATAGTTTTCTGTCTGTATCTATACATCTGTTACACACATTTCCTTTCAAAATGAAATTACATTGTACCTTATTTTATAGCTACTTTCGAGATCACCAGCGCGCACTCGCACTCCCAAGCAATCACCGCTCTCCCACTGGACCGTTTGGACTGCTGAGTGTGGTCCAGAAGGACGTGCTGGGGCTCATTTAACTGACTTCCTGCTGCTGGACACTTAGGGTCTTTGGGGGTTTTTTGTCTGTTATAAATGATGCTGCAAGGAAAATCCTGATGGCTGAATCCCTGAACTCAGTTACAATTATTTCCTTAACATAGATGCCTGTAAATAAAACCCCCGGATAAAGGGATATTCAAACCACAACGGTTTCTGAAATGCAGGCCAAAATCTCATTTTTTTACTTATTAGGATCATTTTCTGCAGTGGCAATGTAATGATTTTAATCAAAATAAAAATCATCATTATCATCATTGAAAATGAAAGACTATTATTTTGTTTTACTTGTGGGTTTTTTGGCATTGGCCATTGAAGACATTACGGCAGACAATTCCTAGCTGCTTAGTCAAAGTCCATTTCTCTTTTTCCCCATTAGCTTAATAGGACCTCAAATACCTCTGGAGCATTTCCTAGGTGATAAAGAATGAGAGCTGGTCTAAGGCGACCATGGCAACCCAATGGCCTGCCTTCTTTCCTTTCTGGGGGGTGGGGGGGGATGGCCTAGGGACCCAAGACTCACATGGGGCCCAGGAAGAAGTCTGTCAAGGGAGTTTTCGGGGAAGCTGGTGTGTTCCCACCCTCCTTCCTCGTGCCAGGAATGCAGGCGTGATGGACAGAGTCCGAGACGTCACCTTGTACCAGGAGGGAAAGGCCAATAAAGAAAAACACAGACGGGACGCCCAGGACCCTCAGACCCAACATCTTGGAGCCACCGTGGGGACGCCGGCAACCGCGTGCCCCCAGGTGCCTCTTCTGTGAGTCTCTTCCGCACGAAAAGAGCGACTGTATCTGCTGAAGCACTCTGAGTAGTTTCAGTCACTTGCAGCCAAAGCGTAACTAAAACATCAAGGACTAATGCCTCCCATTAAAAAAAATGGCCCTTAAGTTGGGAGACAGAAGCGTATGAGACACAGCAATGTCCTCACAGTGACGGCGATTTAAAGTGAACACGAGGGGCCCTGTCTGGTGTGGGGTGGGGGGGAGGTGGTTGGGAGCTGTCCTGCAAAGCGAAAGGTCGCCCATCGATTCCTGGTCAGGGCCCGGGCCGGGTCCCTGGCTGGGGGGCGTGGGAGAGGCAGCTGGTCCCTGTTTCTCTCACACATCGATGTTTTCCTCCCTCTCTTTCTCTCTCTCCTCCCCTCTCTCTAAAAATACACAAAATCTTTACAAAATAAATAAAAAATAAAGGGAACATGAAGGTACAAATCCGTATCACAGAGGAAGTAACTGCAGCGGGTCGAAAGCAAACGCCGTGTGTGTCAGGCTCTGAAGGCCCCGCCCGGAGCCCGAGCACCCGCACCTGCACCCCCGTCACAGCAGAAGGGTTTCCTGCTCTCTGCCACGAATGACGCGGAACCAGATGTGGACGGTGACCTCTGCAGGTCAGCTGCCGGAAGCATCCTGGACTCTAACAACGGGCTCATTCCCACGTTGGGCCCTCCTTCCGGCAACTCTTCCCTTCCCCGAAGCGCACACGCCCCTCGCCATTCTTCAGGAGGCTGAGCTGTGGTGGCCTCCCAAGTGGACAGGCGAGTCCCCGTTTACTGCTTCAGATGAAAGCCCATCTGAAGAGCAGAGTGTCCCTGTAATTTACTTGCTGGCTTGTGCTGTAAAGTGGTCCTCATTATGGAAGCAGTGAAGATCAAGGTATCTATTTTCTTTCTGGGGGGTGGACAGAGACGTGTGAATAAACGTTCGTGAGCGGGAACGTCCGCACCAGTGCTCCCTCCTCCAGAGCAGTTACGGTGTTTGACCACCACGTCCCCTTTCGGGTCTGTGGGTGGCTGCGCCGTGGCGTCGGGAAGCTCCAGCCACAGCTGTCCCCTCAGCAACCCGCCTTGGGAACCCTTGAAGCCCACGTCCCCTTTGTGGTTAACTGCCACTTGCCGAGACTGCCAGCTTCACTTCGTGGTAATTTATCAGTGTATGGCGAGTCGCTCCCTCAAAGAGAAGGGAAGAGTTGATTTGAAATGCTGTGGACAAAGGAGACATCTGGGTGCTTATCTGACAAGTCTTTGTGATAACGGCAGGCCACCGTCACGGACCAGGGACTCCAGCGTCCGGCACCCGGGAGGTCAGTGGAGTGACTCAGGCGGACAAGCACTCGCCCTTAATGATGGGACACTTTCTTCTGACAGGGAGAAATGACAAGTGGCCACACTTGGGAGCAGGCACAGCTTAAGGTCTCTCCAGCGCTCAGAGGCCCCCAAAACTGAGCTTTAACAACTCGTTCTGATTTCCGTTTGGAGTTCTTGCTTCACTCCACTCTTTCCATTGGAACTCTTCCCCACTGTCCCTCCTACTTTGATTCCCCAGACTGAAGGCACTGTCCCAGGCAGCCAGGACTGACGCTCTCAGACAGCCCTGGGTGCCTGTGAGCTCAGCCCCGGGAGGGACCCCGCCTGCGTGACCTGAGGGAGCCCAGCCAGGACTTCCTCTCTGACAGGAGCACCCCTCTGATACCAGACAGAGGTTCTGGTATCATTCTAGCAAGGAATCACCATCATACTTATTTCCACTTCAAGTGTATTTTCTCTGATTCTCTTCATTCCAAAAAACAGCATCACTATCTTCCCTGAGACCTGGATTTTAAACTTTCCCTTGGATTTCTTGAGCTACTCTGACATCCTGCCAATAAGTTCCCATGTCACATCAATTAGCCAATCTTGCTCTCAATGAACACATTCTTAACAGCTACAGCGCGCTCTCCGGCCATTCTAACAGGAAACCTACTTTCCTAAAACGAGCTTTTGGCACCTCCCAGGAACCGGGGAGGCGTCTCCGTCAGCTTGTTCCCTCGGGGCCCGCGACCTCCAAGTCCGGGATCAGTCGTCAGATGCTCCTCCACACCCCTGAGCATCTGCGCAGCGTGTCCCAGACCCTCGGACACGCGAGTCAAGGCGATGTGCCCTCTGTCTAGGGAAGGGCAACTCACACACAAAACACCGTGTGACCTATACCTGGGTGGGGACTGCGGGCTGAGACTGCTATTGGGTGTCACCTTGCTCCCGATGTCTAGGGCTCCTGCTAGAGTCAGCGGTGGGGACAGCTGGCCCAGGGAGTGGGTGACACGTGGGGCAGGAGCACAGGCAGAGCTGCTGCCTCGGGCTCTGAAGCAGCCTTCGTCAGATACGCTTTCCCTTCCCAAACAGCATCCCCGCTTCAAGGAGCCTGATATTTCCCCGAGGTCATCTGCCCCCACAGCCCCACGGTGCCAGAAGGGGCCAACTGCGGGTGGAGAGGCAGCCGGCTCACTGGGGCGCCGCTCAGCCCCTGGTCGGCTTGTCCCGTGCTGCGGAGAGGACCACGTTACCTTCGTCAGCTGCAGCTCCGATGAGAACCCCAAACCGAACACCGTGTTGGCTCTGCTGTCGGCCCACTGCCCAAACTTCTGCGATGTTTTGGTGAACGTCATGTTGGGTGTGATTGTGCTGTTTATAATCACCTGCAGGAGAACAGGCCAGAGAGCAGATATATAAACACCGAGTTAGACAGGGACGCCCCCAGAGTCTGGGGCTGGTGAGGCCGGGGCCCAGTGCTCAGAGCAGGCCCCACTGCCCTCCCGACTGGGTTCGCCCGCCTGACTTCTTCCGCTGCTGGCACCTCCCGTGATGGGACCAGTGTCAGAGACTCAAAAACAGACTGCCAGGCTACAGCAAGGCCTTACAAGTGATCAGTGGGAGAAAGTCTCCCCTAAGTAGATTTTCCAAAACTGCTTTTCATTGCCCCAAAGCTGCCATGTCACACGTTCCCAGGAGAACTCCGCGTACATTTTTAAGTACCTGGTGCCCCAGTGTCCAGCTCAAACAATTTAAAGTCTCCACAAGCAACTGGGGCTTGCTGCCTCCCAACAGAGAGGGGCGGATTCGCCCCAAATGGGACTGTTGTGGAAGGCGACTCACAGGGACACTAACCACACAGGCATGAGCTGGATGCAGGGAGCTGTGAGGGACGGCGCAGGGGCCTCGTGCTGGCCCCCACCCCTCCTTGGCCTAAAGGGAGCACGTGGCGACCTCACAGGAGGGGAGGCAGCAAAGCAAACACCTTGCCTCCCTCCCTTTGATCTCCTGCCATGGGCCAAACCCAACCAGAAGCCAGAGGCCCCAGGGGCCCAGGGAAGTGGTCTGCAGCTCAGCCTCTCAGGGACCAGGGCAGGGTGAAGGGGGGCGGAGCAGGAACCCGGAGGGAGACAGGACGGCACCCAGCACACGGAGCCTTTCTTCGTTCAACACACACTCGCTGAGCAGTCACTGAACGCCGGGCGTTCTGCCAGCCGAAGGCACAAAGAGGGTCCAGATTCCTGCTCTTCCAGTCGCAGGTGGTCAGGAAGAGGGCAGAGACAGGTAAACAGTCACCTAACAATCGATGTGTTGTAAAGTATCAACAATAAGCTTACTCTGGCAGGGATCCTCAAAAGCCCTAAGACTACAAGAGACACTCAAGAAAAATGCCCTTGGACACAAGGGATCCTTGGGTGTTTGCTAAGCAGCGGAGCTCAGGGGTTACTTCCTCATCGTGTGGCTTCTCGTGGTCTGAGCGGGGGCAGTAGCAATCTGAGTAAATTTTCTAAAGGACAAACTTACTAGCAGTTTTATTTATTAAGGCTACATGTATTCTCAATAGTAAACTCTGAATACTTACTTTTTAAATGGATAAAACAAGGAAGAGAAAACATTTCTGAATGGCAGAGCCCTGCTCTCCTTGGTAGGAACTTCAGTCAATCCATTTGCTCAAGGACAGACCTGGACAGATTCCCACCTTAATTAATAAAGGCATCACGGCAAGAAGTGACAGTTGTCACTAGTGAAAGTGTCATTGCAATGTATATACACAAGAGCCCACTGAGTCTGCTGAGGAGGCATGAGCTCAGGAACAGACCCTACTTCAACTAGTAAAACAATTTTCTGAAGTTAATATTAATTGCAGCAACTACTGTTTATTGAGCACATGCTGAGTGCTTTGCTTATGTCAGCTCAGCTAAACCTCACAACAAGGCTAAGAGGCACGACCATTGCCATTTCACAGGAGGAGAAAGGGGGCGGTGAGTGGCGGAAGACGGCGTCGTCTCGACAAGGAGAACTGAGCCTCTCGCAGTCTCCTAGGCCCATTTCCTGTCCCCACACACCTGAACGGGGCGGTCACCACTGCAGACCCAGAGCAGACAAAGGTCTGCCACTCCCAGAACACAGACCGCTCGCCTTGCAGGAGGACCTCTTCGTCAGAATTTTGCAGTGGGGGTGTCTCTGTCCTCCGAGTTCCCCACTGACAGGCTTGCTCTGAGAGGGAGGGAGAATGGCTTTGATCTCGGCTTAGCACGGCCCCCTCCCACCCTGTCACCCACACCAGGATGTCCAAGCATGCGCCAGAGACAGGCTACAGGATCCCACAGGCGGGAGGGCAGCCGAGGAGGTAAAGGAAGCCTGCTCCTTGCACCGTGTGGCTCTTGCCACCCTTCAGGCCGGTTCCTGCAGGCTGTGCAGTGCCCTGGCTGTCTCCTGACCGCTCGCCGAAGGCTCTGGGCCTTCTGCAACTTCCTAGATCCAGGGAGCAAGAAGAGGGGGAGGAGGCTGAGGAAAGGGGGAGAGAAGCCATCATCTACTCCTAGAGGATCCTCCAGGTTCCCGCGACTCGGCAGGGGCAGCGCATCTGAACAGTCTCCAGGCTCTGACAGTCAGCCCATCACTACGAGCAGTGTGACAACTGCTGGCTGCTCTCCCAGGAACCCCAGCGCGCTGACCTTCTCAAAGCGCCAGACTGACAGCAGGAACGATCGCGCTGCCAAAAGTGCCCAACCGCAGAGCCTCCTTCATTCACTTCCTACCAACATGGGAACTCCGCCCTGTGCCGCCCTGGGCTCTGCCACCAAGCCTGAGTCCTCCTGAAAAGCTGGCCAGAAGAAGCCCCGAAGGATGTGCGCCTTCTGTGTCCCCGGATCACTTCTGGCCGACCGCTCTGCACCTGGAATCCACCTACAGCTCCTGCTTCTCTTTGAGGCTCTGATTCATTTCTGACTTTTCGCCCTCCCCAGCGTGAATGCAGAGGTGAAAGGAAGTGGGTGTGGATTAAAAGACCTTTTCTCTGCGTTGGGTCTGCGGCGGGTGAGTGCCCCCTTCAGGTGCATGGAGGGGGGGCATCCTAGGGGTGGAGGAGAGGGGACAGGACCTGGGGACTGAGGGAGGCTTAGTTCTGGGCAGGTGAGGGGAGCCCTCTCTTGTGAGACTGGAGAGAACAAGGACATAAGTTATAAGCTTGATTTCACTAGTAATGTGGAAATGACGTTACCATTATCATACACCCACCAAATTCAACACATGTCTGAGGGTACTGAGGGTGGGGCCAGAAGAGGGAATGATGGGAGCTCACGGAATGGCAAACCCACTGTGGAACACGATGCGGCTTTCTCTGATACTATTAAAAGTGCCCATTCCTTACTGCCCAGCAATCCCAGTGCTCAGTGTATACCCAAGAGAAAGCTTTGCGTAGATAAACGACAGGGAATGGACAAGAATGTTCACAGTAGCAGCGTTTACAAAAAAGTAAATAAAAAATACAGTCCAACACCGGTTGAATGGACCGACTGTGGTACATTCAAGCAGTGAAATACTGCCCGGCAGTGAGAATGAACCAAGGCTGTAGGCATCAACTTGGATGAACCACAAACATTTAACACGAAGCAAAAAATAAAAAGGAAGTAAAAAAAAGACAACATACAGTATGGGTCTCGAGTAGGATTCTATTTACATAAAAGCCCAAAACATGCAACACTAATAATATACTACTTAGTGCAAGGATCAACCAACTAGTAGACCTCTGGCCAAGTGCACCTGCAGTCTGCGTTTGTGAATAAAGTTTTATTGGCACAGGGCCACAGCTACTTGTTTATGCACTGATCCATGGCTGTCTTCTTGCCACAAGAGGAAAGCTAAATAGCTGCCACAGACCACATGGCTCATTGAAAAATTACTATCAGCTAAATGGTCATGGAAAAATAAACTTAAAATAATTACTATCAGCCCCTTCAGAGGAACAGTTTGCTGACCTCCGGTTTAGGGATACACACACGGATGGCAGAACTAGAGAGGATAGTAAGGGACTGCTTCGTGCAAATTCCAAGCGAGTGGCAACCTCATGAGGGGCGGTTGGCAGCAGCATGTACTTGGGAAGAGGCCCAGAAAGGGACTCGGAGGCCCAGGAAAGGATGGGTTTCCTCAGCTGGGCAGTGGGTACACAAGTGTTTACTTTTTCTATCAGACATTAAATGATACACATGAACAGTGACCATGAAGTGCACGAAACGATAACAAAGTTGTCAGGGAAGCTGGTGGCCGCAGTGAGCAGAGGCTGGGGAAAGAGGAGGTGGTTGCACACCGGGCCCGGGAGACTGTGCTGGGGGCAGAGGAAGCTGCTGAAACTGCGGGTTCCAGCCTCGGGTGGGGGGCAGGGGGGTGCTCAGCAGTCTATGGGTCACAGGGGTGGAGGATGTCACCCAGTGGGAGGGGACAGAAGGCCATGGGAAGAGACCCTGCTGTCTCCTGTGCACAGCCCTTCCTCTGGGTGAGTCATCTCTGAGGCCTCCCAGGGAAAGGCTTGGTCCCTGCAGATCTGGGGCTGTGTCTGCAGAAAATGCACGGAACACCTGTCACGAGAGCTCCTTGGAGAAGCTAAAAGCGAAGCTCCTCCAGACTCCAGTCCTCCTCCCGACTCAGGAAGCAGCTTGTCACAAAATGGGAAAGAGGTCCCCAAAATTCCCTTTCATGACAGGTCTTCCCCAAATCTAGGGAGAGGGAAGTTAGAAGAACTTGGATGTCTTCTACAAGAGTCTGGGACCAAGTAATTACAGCAATTAAAAATTATGTTGTCTGTTTCCAAAGTAGGTGTTAATAGATGCCTTTTTTCCTTTGTTTTCGCCACAGTCTGGGAAAGAACAAAACTAATGTTCATTGAAAACCTACTGTGTGCAGAGAACCTTCCAAATGCTTGCTCTTTGAACAGAAGGTGCCTGTATTTACCCAAAAGAGGAAACCGTAGTGAAAGTGGAAGACGGGGCCCTGGCGGCATTCTTGGATGCAATTTCACATTTCCAGAAGAAGACACCAAGCAAGTCAGATTTCAGAGGCTTACAGCTTCAGAGCAGTCACAAGTGGGCAGCACTGGGTACCCAGCAGACGCTGCTAAACACTTCTAGAATGGATGGGTGCCCAGTAAGGTCTCTCTCAGTATAGGTGTCTGTGATCCCGTAAGCAACTGAGAACCAAGGGCAGCAGCGCCCGGGCCAGAGCACCCGGGAGAAACGCCTGCCCTGGGCCAGTCTTGTCCACAGGCGCAGGCAGGTTCTCCTAAGAATGGCAACGACTGGCTCCTCTGTGAGACTGAGCGCTGCGATGGCTCAGTCAACAACTGCTCTGCAAGTGGAGTCCTTTAAATTAGAGCTGGCGGTTCTGCCCAAAACTCGCCGTAGGTCACACGACCTCTGGTGCTATGATAGCTCACAGCAGTGCTCCGGAAGCTGGGTTTGTGCAGTGCCCTCACGCGTCCCCCAGCTGTCCGTGTACAGGGCCGACACCGGTGACATTCTGAGGCTCTGACCCTGATTCTGGCATGGGGCTGGGACTCCAAAGACAAGCCAGACCTGGCTCCCATCCTCAGAGTGCCACCATTAGGTAGCCTCATGCACAGAAATGGGTCCATATCACGCGCTACAGCCGGGCAGTGCTGGGCAACGCACGGCAGCGTTCCTGCCTGTGCACGCCTCCAGCAGCAGCAGGGACTGACGCGTGAAGAAGCATTTGCTCTGAGAAGGAGGCACGACCCAGTGTTTCAGGGAGAACGAACAGCAGGCCTGAGCACAGCCTCGTCCCATGATGAGCAGCACCAAGCGCTCTCAGGGGAAGGAGAGACCTTCCACGCATCCAAGTAAACAGGACAGAGCAGAGGAGCCTGCTGTGCCCTGTGTGGAGTGGCAGCTGCTGGCGCTGCTGGCCGCACCTCCTCCCTTCCTGGGGCTCGTGCCCTGCAGGCTGCCTGAGGCTGGCTCTGCAGCTGAGTGTGCTGTGGTCTCTGCTCACAACGACCTCCAAGTCCCTCCCACACCAGCAACCTATTACTGAAGCACGCCCTCCTTCACTTGGCGGGGTAGAGCAGGTTTCCCCTCCAGCCTCCTGCCTTGGGAGGGGCAGCTGGCCCGGAAGCACCAAGCAGAGGCTCCAGGTCATGGACTTGATATGGCCAGGCCAGCAGAGAGAGGCAGGACTTGGGTCCTAGAATTGCCCAAGGGCAGAGGTGCAGCCCGTGGGTGAGGACGTAGCCCCAAAGGCTAAATGCATCTGACCCTCTGTCATCTCGGTTCAGATCAACATCTGGGACCAAAGGCCTGAAGCAAAGTGGGCTGTCCCAGTGTGGCAGTGGGAGGGGGGACAGTGGTGGCCAAGGGCAGCAAAGAGCCCTGCGAATGCATCAGCTCAGGACACTGCACCCTATTCTGGTCCCTAGGAAGGGAGAACTCCATCTGGATGATGTAGGCCAGGCGGAAGTATGGGCGGGGGGTTATGAACTTGGCCATGGGTGCAGAAGCGGAAAACACGGAGACCAGGCAGGTGGCAGGAGCTGCTGCCACCCTGGGAGGTCACCGTCCTGGGTTCCTGCTCTGCTTCCCCCAAACCCTGCCTGCCCTGTGGGGCAGCTGGAGGCACAGGGGGAGATGGAGACCCAGGCTGCTGGTTTTCCCTGCTTTACGTGTTGCTGAGGCAGCGCTGGGAACTCCATCGGTGCTCTGTGCTCCCCATCTTTGGTCCCGAGTGACAGTCACAGTAATTAAATGACTGAAGCCCACCCACCTCTACCATCCCACACCCCCTCGGGCCTGTGCAGCATGAGGCCCCGCCACGGGTCTTGTGCCTGGGTGGTAAGGCAGAACTCTGGTGGGCTCCAGGAATAGCAGGCAGCCAGGTGACACAGGACGGGTGGCCTGAGACCCTCGGGCTCCACCTCTGAATTCCAGGGGTACCCCACGACCTGGGTTTCCAATTCCCACATTTTAGGTGACTCCGTGACTTGATGGACCCCCATAGGGGGCCTAAATTAGCCCTACACTGCAGCGAGGGGTTGGCCCACTCTCCTGTACCTCTCTGACGTCTCACAGCTGACTCTGGCCCATCTCCAGCATGCTGTCACAGCCTTCAGGACTCACAGAGCCACACGATGCGGTGGCTGACACTTTGACAAATGACTAAAAGCCCGGTTAATAGGCCTGAAGCACTTTCTCTAAGAAAGTCGTTTTACTTGCATTTAAGCTCCATATATCCTTGGATAATTCAGCTGATGGCAGTGCCAGCCCATCTCAAGGATATGGCAATAAAAGACAATGGCGGTATCACCATGCCTCACAGAAGAAGAAAAAAAATAAAGGTACCTTCCCAGACATTGAGTCCTTAAATTCAAGTGCCACCTACCTACCTCGGGCCAGGCCCTTGCACTCGGTCTGAGCGCTCACCAGAACCCTGCCACCTCTTACCATCCTGCTTAGGTAGAGGAGAAGGCCACTGCCCGTGTCTCTGGGGACACAGGGGCCAGACCGGCTGTTCCACCTGACGCACTGCCTGCTTCACGGTCTGGTGTCAGAAAGTTCGCCTTCCGGCTAGGGGGACGCCTGCCAATGCCTCAAGGACAAGCAGCCACCTGTCAGGCCCGGTCACTGCCTCCCTGGACCTCAGCTGCAAAATGAGGGCTCTGGGCTCCCTTCCTGACTAGGAGGAAGGGTTGTGGCAACTGGAAGGATGAGAAAGAGGATCGCGGGGCCAAGCAGATAAAGGTTGCTCTATGACACTGAGGGTACAGAGTGCACAGGCTGCGGAGAGAGTTCCGCCTTCGAACAAGGAGCCTCATCAAGAAACCAGCAGGTACCAGCAGGCTCTCACACCTTTCCTGGGGCAGCAGTGTGTGTGGGGTGGGGCCTTCTAACGGAAGCTTCCCCAGCCTTCCAATTCAGGGTTGTGAGGCTGGAGGGGGAGGAGCTTACAGTCAGTCCCCAGCTCCCCCTGCTCTCAACTTTCTAGAAGTGCTGACCTAGAGGCAGCGGGGGTGGGGGGTGGGTAACAGACTGCAGGAGGGGCCTGGAGGGTCAGATGGCTACTGCAAGGTCTGAGCAAAACTGCCGGGACCAGAGTTATGGCCTTGAAACAAAATGTTAGGCACAGGTGTGAGACCCAAAAGACGGGTTCCTCTGACCAATCCCAAAAGGAATGACTTTCTGTTCTTTCTTTTCTTTCTTCCAAACTTCCTCCCTTTCTTTTTTTTTTTTTTTTTTAGCGCCAGTGATTGAGAAATGAAAACGAAGAGGTGGTTTAGAGGGGAAATAGGGGAATTCAGCTTCAGAGAAATTTAATTTCAGGTGATAGCAGATAATCCACATAAAAAAATGTCCAGCAGGACGAAAACAGATTAAAAACAGAAAAAAATGATGAAGTAGCATCTACTTTTACTCTTTTTTTTTTGCAAATTTGGTGATACTTTTACTGATATCCCTTTTTTATTCTGCTTCCATATGCAGACCAGGAAAAAATTATTTTAAGAAATACTGCAAAACCATTTATTAAAAGCAACTTAAGAACCCCAAGACCAGCTGAGATGGGACAGCCGGCGGGGGCCAGGGCGAGACCAGCCGGCATGCTCGGGCTGAAGGGAGAACTCTTTGGAAAGCAAGGCGGCCACGTCTGTTGAGAGCAGTAAGGTGTTGATATCACTCCCAGGAACCTGTCCTGAGGACATGTGCACGAGAAAACAACAGGTATGTTCGATGATCAAATGAGGGCACTGGCTGCCTGAACATGCTCATTATCTGAAGTAGTAAAAAACTGGAAGTCACTTAAATATCTAACCGTAAAGGGAGAGATTAAGAATATTATAGGGCCTTGGTGGAATTGTTACATGGGCGCTGAAATGCTAGTTATATAGACAATGGGGTAACAGGGAAATCTTTTTTCTTCATTTGCTGTAATTTTAAATGGAAAAATAAAACCCAACCAGGCTCTGTGATTGTAAGACATTACTGCAATAACATCTCTGGGGAGGCGGCATGATTTAGGGGTGCATCCTTTTCCCTCCACTTTTCGAATCCATCACCTTGCTTTAGATACAGCCCGGGTGACTGTGAACATTGAAAGCAGCTGGCGGGGCGGTACCTTGGCTCCATCCACGCTGATGATCCGATAGCTGTTCCTTATGACATCGTAGAAGTAGGAGACGGTGACGGCCTGCTTGCTGGCGGGCACCCAGTTCTTCTTGGTGTTGGGGTCAATCTGGAAGACGTGCGCTCGGGTGGTGAATATGGGCTGTTCTCTGCAAGACGAGAGACGGGCTCGTGAACCGATGGAACACAGCTTTATGTATCATTTATGATTTACAAGCCATCTACTGCCCCCCAAAGATTTTAACAGCTTAGAGGGAAAGATACATATGCATGAGGACAATTAAAATTGAAAAAGGGAAGGGAGGAGAAAGAGAGACACCAGAGAGGCAGTTACTGAAACTCAATACCCTGAGGCTGTGGGGCCACTGGCCTAACAACCACTTTGCTTCCAATGCACCTTCTTGCCCAGGGAGGGTTTCTGCATCCAGGCAGGTGTCTGTCCTGCTCTTCTTCTGACATCCTGCTGGCGTTTTTAGGAATTTGAAACAAATTCATTTTGGGAGATTCTGCAACAAGGTTAGGATTTTGCAACCCATTTGCAACTTCATTTATTTCTGTTAAAAACTTCTTAAATTCATAGCATCTTACAAATGCTGCATTCATTCATAATTGACTAAGCCTTCGAGTTTCATGTTTCCAACATATGAACTTACTGAGTTTTATGTGAAATTCACCAAATCCATCTCTTTTGCTATTCTTGCCTCTGTAGGGCTGCTTTTTCACTCCACATACCTGTAAATTCTTTGTGAGAACCCAGTTAGCACATTATCTATCTCCCTGCTGAGTGGGGAATGAGTTAGATCTTGGTAAGAAGCACCAAGAGATAAGGCAGATGTATAAAATCGTAATGGACTTCACCGTGTTTCATACCATAAGGCATCTATGTTCACAAAACAACCAGAAGAAACAGACTCATTACAAAATATTTAATTTCAAAAAAAGGATCTTTAGGCAAACTGGATCAGAAATCCTTGTAATTGTTCAAAATAAGATAAAATGGAGGGGAAAATGCCACCAGAATGTAAAAATCCTCCCATCACTCATTAGAACACTACAGAGTTAATAAGTACTTATTAGAGACAGAAATTAAATCAAAAGGTAATGCAGACAAATTAATTTTTTAAATCATGACAATGTTAAGAGACATGACATAAAAGAATAAAATACCCTCGTGGAGACAAAAATCAAAAGGGAAAAGTGAATTTTAAGTGTTCTGGTCTCCAGTGGAGTGGTTTTATGCGAGAGCAGTCTTTGAACCCATCTTGACGACAGGAGACTCGTCACAAGAAAGCTCTTTCTAAGGAGAGGGACTTTCTCCCAGAAAAGCAATGTACCATTCGAGTGTCCTGCAAGGGGGCCTGAACACCGCCGTGAACACCAGTATCAAATGTCAACTGCGGGTGCAGAGAAATGCAGAAACTGTGTGCACGGCTGCTTCTCTGAAAGAATAAAAGCCGAGAGCACGTCCTTCACACGGCAGCGGCTCTGAGAGGCCGGCACTGCGGAAGAGGCATGGAAGCCAGCCTCCCCCTCCCGGATCCCGGGAGTGAGGCAAGTGCCTCCGGGAATGTGGATTACTACTAGGACGCTTTTCTTCCCTCAACGGTACCCAAGTTCACGCACCCACCCGCACCTGCGGTCAAGGGCAGCCTGAGGGGAGCGTGTGCGTGTGAACACAAGGCTTCCTAACCGGGCCCCGCGGGCAGTCTGACATCTGGAGGCCCAGCTGTGCGGCTGCCAGCCCGGGCGCCGTATTCAGCTAATCGTTGAAGTAAGTGCACCACGACAGAGGAAAACTCCTGCTCACGTGGTGTTCTCTGGCATTTGTGAGAAGAGGGAGTGTTGAAAGGGCAACGATACGGAAGAGTTTTTAAAAAATCGAATTATGCTAAAATCTCTGCCTCCCTATGCAGAGCACTAGCAAGCTGGGCAGGGGTCTTCCCTGTGAAGGACCGGGCTTTCAGACCTTCGTCCCTCGTGTCCTCCACACCGAGGAAGGGGCATCGGATCTAGTTTTAGCGCCCTGAGACCTGTGACAGTAATTAGCTGGAGCACTTCATCTCAGAACACAAGTGCCCCAGCCCCAGCTTGGCCCCCAGGAACCTGGATCTCCAGGGCAGGGGCCTGAGTAGCTCTGTTCTTCACAAGAGCTCCCAGAGATTTTTATCCTCAAGGAAGCTGGGGAGACACTCATATTAGACATTATCAGATAATCTAGAATAAAAATGGAAGAAGTGACAGATATAGCCAGCACCTCTTCTCCAGAAAAACACAGGTGACTGTGAATGACACAGAATCTCTCCAGAATGTCCCCCCACAGCCCAAGGGGGACACCAGTGGGACCAAGAACAGGATCTTTGAGTGCAAAGGACGGGGGAAGAGCAAGGGAAGGCAGAGGTGCTCTGGTCAGGAAAGAGGGCAGCTTGTGGTGGCCAAGCAGTGACCTTTAAACACGCCATATCCCTGCAGCCCACGGCAGTGGGAAAGTGAAGAAAGTGGAGCAGAGAGAGACAGAGGAGAAGGGACAGGGAGACAAGGAAAGATGGCAGAGCTTTCCAGTCGGGGACAAGCAAACGCAACAAGTCATCTGCTTGGCGTGGTTCTGGTCAAGGTGCGCGTGCAGACGAGAAGGACCCGTCTCCAAATCCGCCTGCTCAGCTCTGGGAACGGACCGAAGCCAAGACAGGTTGCCCTCGGGTCCCCACCCAGAAGTGCAATTTCTTGGGAGAGCACAGCTGGTCGCATCCCCGGGGGCTGCAGGGGAAGTGGCTGCTAAACCCCGGGGAGAGGCCCCGAGACCTGGCAGGGAGCTTCAGGGGCGCCGGCCAGCTCCTGGCAGAGAAGGGCACCCCAGCCACTGGTCCTCAGTCCCGAGGACCTGCACAGCCAGTCCCGCAGCAGCTGTGTGCCCCGGAAACCACCCAAAGGACTGGGGTTCCCACATGAATAACCAAGTCTGAGGCCACTGGGATAGTCTATTTTATTCTTCGAAAAGTCAAAAATCTAATTGTATTTAAAGAAGAGGCCAAAAATACACAATAGTGAAAAGAAAAGCCAGTAGCTAATGTTGACTGGCTACTTGCCATTCTGCCCAGCTGTACCTGTGACTCCTCATTTAGGATCACGGTGACCCTGTGGGGAAGGTGCTGCAAGGGTGGGAGAAGCAGGGGCTCAGAAAGGCCAAGACCAGCCTTGGGTTCCACGTGTAGTGAGTGGCAGCCTCGCAGCTTGGCAGATCGGAGATCTGAAGTCAGTGCAAGGGACACGGACATTCTCCCTCTTAAATACGAGGCTGCACTCGCTCCCTAAAACAGCAGTGCCCATACCTGGCAGCTGCTGACGTGTTCCCAATGATTCAGCCTCCTGGTACTCACACCTGGTGTAACGCCCTCCCTCTGAGCAGGGGTGCGACCTGGGACTTGCTCTTAACCAAAAGAATACAGCCAAGGTGACAGGCTGTCACGTGTGTGAGCAGGTTACACAGGCCTGTGGCTTCTGCCGTGCTGGCACACTCTCTCAGCCAAGTCTCTCCTGCTGGCTTTGATGAAGCAAGCCATCATCGTGGGGAGGCCTCTAGCCAACGGCCAGAGTGGAACTGAGGACCTCAGTCTAAAGCCACTCGAGGAACTGGAATTCTGCCAACGAGTGCTTGGAAGCTTAGAAGTGGATCTGTCCACAGCTGGGCCTCCTCCAGGTGAGACCCCAGCCCTGGATAAGAGCTTGATGACTCCTTCTGAGACAGGGGTCCCCAACCTCCAGGCCGTGGATGGTACCTGTCTAGGCCTGTTAAGAACCAGGCCACCAAGTGTAATGCACTTGAACATAATGCACTTGAATCATCCCCAAACCATCCCCCAACCCCAATCTGTGGGGGAACTGTCTTGCACGAAACTGGTCCCTGGTGCCAAAAAGGTTGGGGACCGCTGGTCTAAGAGACCTTGAAGCTGAGGACCCAGCCAAGCCAGGCCTGGCTCCTGACCCATGGAAACATGTTCTAGCTGAAGCTGCCAAGTCTGCGGCAGCTCATTACACAGCAGTAGACGACTAAGGCAGTGATCTGCATGCACGCTACCTGCACGCCATGCAAGTCGCTTACATTCTCAGTCAATCTGCCGACAGGGCGGCGCCATCCACACAGAAAACCGAGGGTCGCAGTGATTCTGGACAACCTGAACAAGGAATCTTTACATCTGTATGGGCAAAGTCAGAGCACGCTACAAACCTCACCACAAAACTCAGGCAGACCCCGGCTTGGTCAGAGCGTCTCGCCTCACCTGGGAAAGTAAATGAGATGGAACTGGGACACAAACACCAGGTCCCACGAGTGTGCAAATCAGTATAAACAGAAAACCCAGGAGCAGCAGAACTTTCAAACTCGGGAGGCCGCCTTTCCCGCGCATCAGGGAAAAGCTGGAGCGAGTGCACGTCCAAGAACAGCAGCCACCTTCGTACCCGATGTACCGCCCTCTCTATGGTGTTCGGGGCCCAGGGAGTGTTTCAAACAGACTCCCACTCCCTCTCCGGCGCTTTAAATAGAAAGCAGATGTTTCCGGATGGCAAAGTGTTTCTTTAGGCAGACAATATAGCCTACTGTTCCTCGTCTTTTTAGAGCTGAATAAACACAAGAGCTGCTCACTGAACACATTTTGGAACCTGACAGTAATTGTCCCCGAGAATAATTAGACACTCTGTGCAACAGACGTGTGTTTGGAATATGAAACCCACCCGGCAGAGAGACCACTCTGGCTTGGAATGAATTCTGGCTCTGTGTAACATGCTTCTGTAAAGAACCGGCATAACTACTTTTTGAAAGAAAGAAAGAGAAACAATGTTTTCATTTCTAATAATCCCTCATTTGCAATGCTCAGCTCTGGGCTTTTTCTGATATGAACTGGTAAAACCTCACAATTCTTATTATTCCTATTTCTACTTGACGTGAATGAAAACGAACCATTTGGACACTATTTTACAGCTCTTCACACAGTGTTTCCAAGACTCGCAGGGAACCCCTCAGTCTTGACCACCACCAGCTCCAACCATCGCTCACACAGCACCAAGAGGAACGCCTTCCCCAGGCTGGATGGGCCAGGCGCTGCCCCCCGCCCCCCAGCTTCTGAGGCCTGCACCCCCAGCTCTGGGTGCGTCAGAG